ATTAAAACATACTACTCAGAGTATGGATTCAATTTTAAATAACTACAACACTGAATCTAAAATAAAGAGGAAGATTTTAAATGTTTATTTATACTAATAAATCAATTAAATGTGTACCAATGTGCAGATGTTAAACACAAAAATTTAAATATTATATAAGCACTTATGTGTATCTAAACCCATTGCAAGTCGAAGTATTCATGGGTACACAGGTCAAGTAGTCATCTCAGTTCATATCTTTAAGGTAACGAGAGACAAGATGTTTGTGGAGGTATTCTGGATTCAGCTTCTCCCCTGTCGCCCTCTCTACGAGTTCATCGGTCGTGTAGAGGCTGTCATGGTCCCAAATCTTTTCTTTTTGCTTCGCCAAGATGCACTCCAGGTCACCTGTCTGGAGGCATTTAAGCAGTTTCTCCTCGCTGAGCTTCGTACGGATCGTCACCATGAGCTGCGCCGCGAGCAACGCCCCAATGAAGTACGTCGGGAAGTACCCAATGGAGGCTTCTGACCAGCGACCGTCCTGCAGGCAGCCCAGGTCGTCTCGATCCCAAAATATTCCTTCATCTTTGCATTCCACACACTGGGCACCTCCTCGGGCTGCAGTGTCCCATCCACAAGGTCACGCTCGATCTCATAGCGCAGGATGACGTGCAACGGGTAACAGACCTCATTCGCGCCAATACGGATGAAGTTCGGCTTCACCTCACGAACAACACGGATGAGGTTCTCCAGGTTAAAAGCCGGCTATGGGTCTAGGTGGGCCTCGAGTTTGGACTGAAGGTGCTCACAAAAGGGCTTTGAGCGGGAGAGCTGGAACTCGGCGAAGAGGGACTGGCTTTCGTGCACACCAAAAGAGCGGGCTGTGCAGACGGGTTGCGTAATCAGTTGACGCGGCCCCATGTTCTGCTCGTATTTGCCGTGCCCCACCTCGTGAATGACACAGTAGAGGCACCTCGAAAGATCGTCCTTGGAGTAAATTGTCGTGATACGGCAGTCCTCCTTAGTCATGCCGGCGAAGGGGTGTGGACTACTATCCAGTCGCCCCGAATCAAAGTCGAACTTCCAGGTACGCATCAGATCCTTTCCGAGTGCCGTTTGCTTGTCCACGGGAAAAGGTTCTTTGAGCGGAATAATGGGGTCTTTTACTGATTCCTGTTTCTTTATAACATCCCGTAGCAGTTGTGATAACCATGATTTAACTTACACAATAATCTCGTCCAGGCGAGCAATCGTCACCCCCGGCTCGTAAACATTCATAAGGGCTTCATATGGGGTGTGTGAAGAATCCGCCGCCAAATATGCCCCTTCTTCGCGGGCAACCAAGACGAGTTCCTTCAATACAGGTAAGAAATCGGAGAATTTATTATCAGACCGGCTTTTTTTCCATACCTCATGGGCCATAGTGGTAAGTTTCGCCTTGCGAGCTAAGAAGTCTTCCGATAGTGAGCTCATGCGCTTCCATAAAACAGTCATTTCGCGAAGATTGCTTTTCTAAACGGCAGAAAGTTCATCTTGTGCTGCGGTGGATTCATCAATCCACCTCTTCACATCTGGTGCAGTAATGTACTGATATTTGAGTTTCTTCAACATAACAATGGCCTCCCCGCGAGACTCCTGACCTTTAGGAGGCATATACGTCCTGATATCCCAATGACATAGCCCAAGGACGTGTTCAAGACGATAAATCGTCTCGAAAAGAGACTCCAGCTGGTCATATGCGGGCATATCGAGTGGCTTTATGATTGAGTAAGATCTTGGTTTAATATTTCAAAAAAATGGTGACAATATTTGCTTATAAAAATTATAAAAAACGACCTCTGGGTTCAAGCGTAGAAAATATAATCATAACATCGTTCTTCGTCAGTCTCCCCTCTCTCAAAACTTGGACAAGACATCCGTAAAGCGTCAAATCAGAGAAATATGCCCGCATTTACGATGTCTAACAAGTACACATACCGATTCATTTTGTTCTGTGTTGCTGTTTAAAGTTTAAACGAATTATTTGATCATCTTTAACATCGTAGATGTTACTCCCATCATTGAAAATCAAACATGGTACCGCGCCTTCCTTCTAATCGTTGTCATATTCAACTCCCCTTCTTTTTATTATTTTATTTTCCTTTTCACTTAGACTTCGAAGCTTAACATATCGCCTTTTCTCTTTCAAAGGATTTGCTCTGAATTGCTTTAAAACGATGTAAACTTTAACGACTGATATGGAGGTTTATATAGGTTGATTTAATGGAACGTATGAGAATGGCTCGATATTACCTGATTTGATGTCCTCCGCACCACTCCCCACAAACTCCTCGCCCTTCCAGATACCCTCCTTCACGCGCAACAGCTTGAGTAACTGTTTCGCCTCCTTTTGTTCACGCAGCCTCTTAAGGTGGGTTGGCCCTTTCCCCGCCCCGTTTCCGCCCGCCGCGGACGTTTTCCAGGGGCGCAGCGGAGCAGCCGATCTGCCAGGGCCTCACAACGCCGACGGTCGTCCTCGTAAGACTTTTCCGCCCTCGTTCGGATGCGCAGTTTGACATCGTGGAAATCGAGATAAATGGCGTCGTCGTTCACTTTCTCAATCCCTTGCGCGAGTTGGTAGTAGACCCCGTAGAGCGTGTGAATCGTGCTCGCACTCATATCCACAAAACTAGGGCTCGACAAGAACGCTACGAGTGGTTTAAACAAATCGCAAAAAGAGTCCTCGGTGAAGATGGTGGGGAGTTGATAAAACCCCCCAGCGACGCGCCAGTACTGATGAAGAAACGCCGCCCATACCGTGCGTTCGGCCGGGAGTTGGGCCTGCTCGGCCTCCCGCAAGGGTTGGCTCTCGAATTGAATAAAAGGGAATATTTCCTTGACAAAGTAGGACAGAGAGTCGTAAGAGGCGCGCAGCGGAGGGTGTTGAGGGTATAGCTGTTTGGCTGGCGCTCCGACGCCAGGGTGGCCTCGCGAGGGTCGAAAGGGAGGATTTCCGCGAACTCCGCCACCGTCATCACGCGGGTGATGGCCACCAGGACGCGCTCAAGCCGCCCGTTGAGCTTGATATTATCCATCCCCCGCAGTTTGTGCAGGACCCGCATCAAAAAACCCACAGAAGGAAAAAGCGCTTGGTAAAGCGGCAGGGCCCATGTCATTTGAGGTAGTTTAGACGATTAAAAAAACTTACAAGAAGCTGGGCGGCGAGCCCCAATAACGCTGATAACCCGACTCTTCATCCCTAGTGTTCAGGTCGCCGCACAGGATGGTCGTTGCGTGTGCGCTGTCGGCGCTACCGATACTCATACCCTCTAAAATTATGAGGGTCTGCCGGGTTTCGTGTAGTCTCACTGGCTGTGCCTCCTCTGAATACCCTGCTGTGAGTTGGATGCATCCTCTACATTGAGATTGAAGTTTGTGATTTTGCCTCGCATGGACACAAAATGACCAACATGGAAGTGGGCGGGAAGGTCTTGGCCTGGCATGAGGGACGGTGTGAAACGACCCTTGTGGAAAAGCACGACGTTGCCGATGTCCTCTTTCTCGGGAATTTAACCCCCGTTTCGGGGTGCAGTGGGGTCTTCTCCTTTTTGAAGCACACGTACACGCGCGACAAGGCTCTCCGCCTCCCAACGGGGAAAGGCATCCCACTCAACAAGGCTCGCCCCACCCCGCAAGGGACCAGGCCACAGTCACGCAAGAGTTTTATACGTCTCAACAATTCTAAAGCAAATGAAGCTGACGCTCATCGTCTGACGGAAAGTGTTTGAAATTCCAAAGGAGGTATCTTGTGTCATTTACCTAAATAATACAAACTAAAAGAAAAGGGGAAAAAACATTGAATATCAGAAACCCATCCAAAATAAAAAGTTCATCACGCAGTAGCAGATTTGTGTTGGTTTCAAACTAACAAAATTATTTGATGTATTACTCGCAAAAAATAAATATAAGGGAAACTTATATTGGTGAAAATAAAACCAGCTCCAAGAAGGTACTGGGGCTTTGAATTTTTTTTCAACTCTTTCATTGTTTTTTTTTGCTTATTATCTGTAATACTGTGAAAATTGATTCATTCGTTCGCTTAGGACCGCATGCTTAGTTTATAACAATTTTTTATATTTGGTCTATCAAAACGAACTTTTAATCTGAAATTAATGTAGAATGAACTGTTAAATTAAAAAATAAAAGAGGAAGCACGCCGCCACACTGAAAAAGTACAAACAGACGTCCCTCACAAAAAGATGCCAGATGTTACACTGACATCCCTCGCTGATTAAAAAGAATTTGTAAAGCGAAAAATCGTGCTTTGGGTACGTACCTATACACAAAGCAACTTCCTTGGTGCCGTCATGGCCTTCAAATATATTTTCAAATATGAAAAAAAACATTTCCATAACAATTTGGAATAAACATTATTATATCGAAAATCAGACTTTGATCATATATTTGAGGCAATATCTATCCATCTATACGCGACACTTACATTAAAAAATCGATATACTTGTTTTACACCATATGGAAAAAAAAATACGGCTATATTCAGAAACTTAAATATAATCCGCCAGAAAAACCTACCCATATGAGGGTAATAAAACTGATTGGATTGATAAAATATATATATACCACCTTAAATCTAGAGTAGGATCCTATATTTATATACAAACAGCGGGAGGGTAAACTTAAGCCTTCATCCGTCGTGAATTTTCCCCTCATGAGCTTTAGCCAGGAAAGCATTTCGGATAGCATAAACCGCTTTACATACTACCCCTCATGAGATAACCTCAAATAGATCGATAGAACATTGAAAGAAAATGCCACAGTGTATGTTGTCAAAAGGCAAAATGGCTCAGACACTTAGAGCCCTTTCAATAGTTCCTCTAAATGGGAATCCGCATTTTGCATGATAATAATCCAAAATAATGGAGTTATATGTCGATAGAACCAACAGCATGGATGCTAGGTATTCCATAGTCTCCTTTTCTATCGTCGGATTGTGCACCATCGGCACAAACCACTGTGCACCTACAGCGCCATGCTCCAACTTACCTACCTTTGTGTAGCCTGCCTCAACACCTGCCGCATGATAAATCACTGGGAACGTACGACGCACGTTGTTGTTACTTAGATCTATTGGTTTCGGATCAGTCGCCAAAAGAGGTGGAGTGAGGCTGATGAAGGTCATCTCAGAGGTCCTTTTCCCGTCCACCCACCTGGGCACGGCAAGCCTCGTATAAATATCCTCACCGTGTGCAATGTACGCTCGCTTATAAGGATCACTTACAAACCGAATTACTGCCTTGAAATCGTTTATCTTTTCTGAGTGTGTGTGCGCAATTTCATACAGTGGCAATATTTCGCCCAATCTTTATCGTGCATCACAGTTAAGCGCATTAGAAATATTGTGCGAGGAGCTGAAAGCTCATTGGCATAATCTAAATCCATGAAACCTGCACGCACACCGTAAGTGGACCGCGCCGTCTGCCTCTCATGCAATGACAACGAAAAAAAGTCCTGTTCGACCTCCCACATTAAGAGATTCAGGTACAGTGCTGTTAAAACAGACTGATCACATGACCATCTTTTTTCGGGTTTATACTTTGTAGGTTGTGTTTTGGTTAAATTATCAGCCTTTTTCACTAACTCCTTGTACGCCAACACACGCGCAATCACAACATCAGCGTTGATATACCGTTGAGATGATAAATTAAAAGACGAGACGAGCTTATGCTCCGGGTGTGCAGCGGTATACCTTTGCACCTTTACATTGATGCTGTTAAATCTGGCGATCCATTCAGGCCAACCATGAAGTATGTTCGGTGCCCAACAGCCAGCCTCAGCACTAACTACGATCGGTGCCATCGCACGGTCCTGTCGCACAGCCAGCGCGTCCAACTCCTCCGGCGTTGCGGCGGACTGGGCGATGAAACGATTGAGGAATGGATGAATGTCTACACCTGTAAAAACCGTGTCGGAATCCATTAAAATGGCGATATCTTCCGGATTCATCTGCGCATTCTTGATGGCCCTTTCCATGAAATCAAACTTGGATAGAAACCCTTTGTATTTCATCTGATAGACAGCTACCACCACGGGAAGCCCGCTTAGGTAGGCTGAGCCCACTGAATAGCAAAGCGTATCATCAATTTTATCACTCATAATCAAAATGACGACACGAGGCCCTGTGGTTCATACAAGGATATCGTGAATTTCGTTTTTCAAAAGTACGGAAGGTTCAGAAGAGATCTGGTCCGAGCCACCAATGTAAAATAGCCAAAGGACTATGAAAAGCATGCCAATAAACCCAACGACAAACAACCGCTGGAGACGAGCCCTAAAAATATCACTTCCCCACCGCCTTCGCAGAAAGTGTTTTAATGATATCATTGTTCTAGTCTACTTTTTTTGTGGGAATTTTAGAAGCTATTATTTATGTCTCTGAATAAACTGCACACAAAGTGAGTTATCGCTGTATCTAAATAAATTAAAATGGAATAAAAAGTGGAAAAGGAAGAGGAAGGGGATAAGAGTAGAATATGATTAACGCTTAAGTTAGAAAAATAGAAAACTATGTAATAAATTCTCACGCATTTAAAAATTTTCTAAATTGCTTCTCAGTCGTAAATAATGTTGGTCAGTGAGTTCCTCCTACCTGGTGCTACGTGCGGTGGCAGTTGTTAAAGCGGCTTTGAACTGAAGTTCTCCGAGTAAATGAGGGGAGAGAATCGAGATCGATTCCTGTCGGATCCTTAGAGCCTTAACAAT